ACCAGACAAGTAAATCAATCACATGAATATTTATATTTGGATTTCATCACTTACATGTTCATCAGCAGAGAAACGACTTTCCTCTTCGTCAGTATGCTGACTGCTCGCAGGAACATCTGCCGCCGCCCCTGCGGGATGTTGGGTCTGCAAATAGGAAAATCCACAAGTATAAATACATGTCAGTTAAGTTCGAGTAACAATTTTCATGTCAGGTTCAATTTCTTCAGCATTTTGCTGCAAACCTCATTAATATGATGATAGCCAATAGATTCGGGGAAGTAGTAGCGAAGAAAAATGACGACCGAGCTGAAAGCTATAGCAGTGGCTGAGAAAGCCAATTTGATCTTGGCAAGTTGTGAGGTAAACATTGACAGGAAAAAACCGGAGAACCCTGTTTCGATTCAAAGCTCATTCTCCGCTGACATGGACAGCGACACCAAGCCAAAACAACCATACGAGATAATGCTCAACGCATCTGATTTTCCAAGAAGAAGTTTATCATGCGTTACGGAGATCAAACAGATGATACCAAAAAATGGAGCTACCACAAGGCCTCGGAGTCCTTCTTGAACTTTAATTCTCTTGGCCCGCCAGGTGAGGAGCCACAGAAATAAAACGACCACTACATAAACAAGAAGACCCGCAGAACCCAACTTTCCAAATGACATTTTGTAGGTGGAGCTGAGACCAAAACAAACCAGGCCAATCATGGCTGACACAAGTCCCACAACTTTCCAAATCACGGACTCATTTCGGACCAGTATCTGAATCAGACCTCTCATTCTGTTCTTTTCCAGGAATCAGAAACAGCCTGCTGCCTACAGTTATCAAAAAAAAAAAAAAAAACAGGCAAGCTAAACTCAGCTAAATCATAATAGAGAATCGAAAAAGGGAAAAAAAGATCAGCAGTGTTTAATTCCTCAAGAACAAGGATTCGTATTCCAAAAGCAGAGTAGAACCGTTATTGCACTAAGATTTCTGTTATAGGCCAGAAAAGTAAAAACAATCAAAGAACCGCGATTGCACTAACCTCAATCAGATCCCCGAACCCACACTTTGGCAGAAGCGGCGCAACCACAAGAGGATCGGAAGAAGCTAGGTTTTTGGGATATTGGGTTTCTTTTCTTCAATCTTTCATCCCTTGCCACCGTGTAACGTGTGCTTCCATTTCCCCCACTTGAGAGAAACTGTGTAGCGTGAAAATCAGTTTACTTTTTGACCCTCGTGGCAAAAAGCCTCAAGCATGCCAGCATGCTTTTGTAGACTGTACATTACTATGTAAATGATCTTTGCTTTATCAATGCAATTAAAAATGTAATGGTGAATTGGTGATTGAACGTGAATCTTCAAGTAATTAATACTTCCCAAGCCACTTATGTAAGGCGTTCAAAATGAAGCAGTTTCTATGTTATTTTTACGTATGTCTCTCACGTGTGCATGGCCGAATTTCTGTCTTCGTAATTCGTATAGGACAGCAACCAAGAAATGATTTTTTTTTTGGTAGAAATAAATGATTTTGTTTCTTCTTTCCGAACTATTTCTTCACGTTGTCTTGTTCACTGGATTGTAAAGATAAATTGGGCAGAAGCAGGAAAAAATAGTTAAGCCCACAAACAAGGGTATGATTGCAGTTTTGGACTTTTAGTTAGGTCTTCGAAGCATTGGTGTTTGAATTTGATCGACCGTTTGTAGAGACATTATTAGTGCTGCTCATAAGCTAGCTAGGAAAGCCCATTTTGAGAAGAGTTGTTTTTGCATTTTTGATCATCCACCATGTTAAACTTACGTAGGGGATGGATGAAGATTGATTTGAACTCTCTTGTAGTTTGTTTGTCTCCTTTAGGTTTTCTTTTATGAATGGTATTCAGTTTTATTCCAAAAAAAAAAAAATTGATTGACCCAAAGGACATATTCAAGTGAATAGAAAATGCTAGAATGATTTGCCGTGGCCTTTGTATTCCAAAAAAAAAACCAAAAAATGCTAGAATGGAGACACACGGAGGCTTCTATATCAGAAAATATCTCCCCATAAAATACTTTATACCACATATATTTCCTTTCCGCGCTGTGTTATTAGTTAATTTTTTATTTGTAATTTTTATTGCATTTATACTTTAATGTTTTTAATGTTTTAATATTGATTTTTTTTTGAGAAAGCTAGAAATATTTTCTATTTTATGCTTTACACCATAAAGCATGTTAAAATATAATAGGATAAATAATTAAATATTCAATCAAAATCATTATTTTTGGGCAGTTCTTATTCTAATATATTTTTAATTTAAAGAGAAATAATAAAATTTGTAAAAATTGGATAAATAATTAAAAAATTCAATTACAAGGCTCCAACACAAAAACTGATAGAACCAAGTGGAGGAAAAAAAATGAGGTCCCCGTCTTGTGATGTTGAGTACTCACAATACATATATGTGTACATATCTTTTCAGGGGGCAAAACACGCCAAACTCCCCTAGGAGGGGGGAAAAACCACAGCAGGGCAGTGTAAAAATTCAGTCATCCTGTCTAATTCATTACAACCCTAGCAAGTCCTATCCTATTTAATCCAGTAAAAAAATTGATCTAAAAGATTAAAGAGATTAAAAAGACCAAACTAATTTCTCAGGTTGGACAGAACAGGAGACCAAGCTTTCAAATCACTTAATCCAATCTGATCTTATAAAATTATTTTAATATGATTTTAATTATTTTTAATATATTTGAATAGTTTGAAATTTTAGTTAGTGTTTTCTTCATTCAAATTTCACCATTCTATTTTATATAATTTTAATTTTAATTTAGTTTGCTACTAAATTATTACTGTAATATGTATTAGACATATTGCTTAAGTTTGTAGGATTTGAATCACGTGTATTGTTATTGAAATATTTTTTATTATTATCTCAATATATCAATCAGCCTATCCCAACAAATGAAAATGACCAGAATCAGGTATTCAAGCATAAATTGCCCTCCAGATTACTAGCATTTCTCATGTTATCTTTAATTTATGGTTGTCCTCCCACACAACTTAAATGAATTGATATTGTTCTTCCACACATCTACAGTTTTCTACACCTAGGAGTTCATTCTCTGCATGACTTCATCTATCATGTCTACCCCATCTGAATTGTATGGATCAAAGAAAAACACGTACCATATAAGGATTGATGATGTCTATCCCATCTGAATTGTATGGATCAAAGAAAAACACGTACTATATAAGGATTGATGATGAAGGAGACCAAGCAACTCTTGTGATTCAGAATCTGAATGAACTAAAGGGGAAGAAGAGGCTGAGTGATCCTTCATCAACTGTTGAAGAAAATAATGTGGGAATTGGCGCCATGTCTACTCCAAACTTTAGCTCCACCAAGAATCGTCGATTCATCATGAAAGAAAAGTGAATCTCCCAACCATCTATCAACCTAGATATGCAATTTCATCTTATTTAGTTTACAATCCTTCTGTTTCTTTACCATCATTTTGGGGTGATTTTGTAAGGCATATTTTGTTAGGACCTCTTTGTCTGAAGACTCTCTGAAATTTCTCATTGGTGCAATGTTTTTTAAATGCGTTTTAAATCCTCAATAATTATTCATTAAAATAGTTTGTCTATCAAATTGTAACCGTACAAATCTAACATGATTCTTCAAAGTTTGTCAAGTCTGGTTTAAAAAATTGACCCGAATGAAAGGAGTTGTACAAATCAGAAAAACGAAACGTCGGTGAACTTTGTGATCATCAACATAAAAAAGTTTTCTCTCAAAAACAAAATTAAAGAATAAACTGAACAATATATTGAAAAAATGAATCAGCTTATATGTAAGATATTTATCTATTTTTTCTAACTCAATCATGTATGATAGAATCATTAAATATTTGACCTTTTCAAAGAATAAAGATAAGATGTGTATAAATAAAATATCCAAAAAGAAGGACAATAATTGAATAGAGGAATTTTTAAAAATTTAGCCATTTTAGATATGTCGATATCAATGACATCAATAATATTTGTTTTAAACTTTTTAATGCACGAAAAACTGTTTAGTTGAAAAAGAAAAAAAAAATTAACCAATAAGGACTGTTCTATTATTCATGCAAGACATTTTATATCATAAAGATCTTATAGTAAAGAAAACAGACTAATGAAAAATCAAAATAGATGATCTCATAATAAAATTGTCTGACCAATAAGAATGGACTAATAGATCGACCAATCGGCTTCAAGAGTTTTCCCTAGGGATCCAATCTAGGATTAATTATTCAAAATAATCCATTTCAAGTTTTCAACGGAACTGTACATTTTGACTCCTATCTTGCTAGGCTTCCCTACTGTCATTATCATGGCAACGAACAAGATTTGTTAGCGCGAAGTATGCAAGAGAAGAATGCATTTTAGTTGACACTTTTTTTTAATATGTATTAACAATTTATTGATATTAATATAATATATTTATTTTTTTCTGCCTATATTTAATTTTTAGGATTGATTAATTAGATGTCCTAAGCAAGGGAAACATATATTATTTATAATTTTATTAAAATAACAATATGAAATTTAGAAATATTGAAATATTAAAAGAGAACTAAAATTTTATTTATAATTAAAAAGAAATAATTATTGAAATAACTAATAGTAGAAGGATACTCATGAATTTAGAGAAATTAATTAGCTATGAATTTAAGAAATTTTACTTTTGAATTAATGAAAAATCAATTGTAAATAAATATATATAATCTCATAAATTTATGCATATTTCACTTGCGAATTTCAGAATAATCACTTAATTATGAATTTTTTAAAAATGAAATTATAAAAAGTTAATTTTAAATAAATAGATAATATTGTGAATTTATGCACTGTGACTTGTAATTTAAGAATAATTACTTATGAATTTATTTATTTATTTATTTTGTCAAAAAGAGAGCCAATCACAAATAAAAGGAGACTGCCAGAACCCCCACCTTCCAAATGTCATTTTGGAGGTGGGGCTGCGACAAAAGCAAACCATGCCACTTATGGCTGATTCAATTCGCACAATTTTAATCACTTGTTTTATTCTGTTCTTTTCCAGGAATCAGAAACAGCCTACTGCTTACAGTTATCCAAAATGGGAAAAAAGATCAGGTGTGTTTAATTCCTCAAGAACAAGGATTCGAATTCCAAAAGCAGAGTATAACCGAGATTGTAGCAAGATTTCTGTAATAGGCCAAACAATAAAAATCATCAAAGAAACATGCTAACCTCAATCAGATCTCCGAACCCACTCTGTGCAAAAACCGCCGCAACCACAAGAGGACGAGAAGAAGCTAGGGTTTTGGGATTGAATGGGTTTCTTTTCTTCAATCCTTCAACGCACAAGCCGTGTAGGCATTCAACTGTCTCAGTAGCCAAAAGCATGACTGACTTCCCAAGCCACTGGTGCAAGATGTGGAAAATGAAGCAGTTTCGATGCTATTTCAACGTAAGCCTTACATGTGCATGGATGGATGTCTATATGTCTTCGTATTGGGCATCGACCCATCTGCTTTCTAGTATCTTCACGTGGTCTGGTCTAGCTTGTTCAATGGGCAGGGAAGATAAATTGGGCAGAAGCAGGAATAAATAGTTAAGACTTTTTTTTTTTTTACTTTTTTGAATTTAATTGTATTTCAATTATTTGTCATTTTATCAATAAACAGTTAAGCCTAAAAAACAAAAGGGTATCATGGTGGCTTTGGACATTAGGTCCGTCCTCGCAGCTCTGGGTTTTAATTTGATTGACCCAAAGTATTCAAGTAGACAGAAACTGGTCAACACATTTAGCTCACTTGCTTTTGTCTTTTTAAAAAATCCACTATCCCTTCCCTTTTTATTTATAAAAAAAAATTATATCATACAGTTTAAAAAAAATTAATTAATTATATTAATTATATTTAAAAATAAAAAAAATTAATTATATATTTTTTATTAATTATTTTTTATGATTATGAATGATCAAATTATAAGGAGTAATTTAAAATTTTTTTAATAAATGCTTATTAAAAGTATAATTTTTATATAAAAATAAATTAAAATTAATATTTTTTTATAAATAAAAATGAAGTGAATATCACTTAGGCTGCCTTCTAATTTTACAACTTGCCCCTTCCTTGTTTTTGCTCATTCCATGTGGACAAAGTTAATCGCCAAATGCTTGGCTTTTCCTCGGTGAAAGATGTGCTTTAAGAACCTTGCTAACTAATTTGAATCAGCCAGTTCATGAACCTACACCAACAAATATGAATTACGGAGATGATAACATAAGAAACCAAAAAACTCCAACCCAGCCTTTTATAACGCTTTTTACCCTCTTTTATTTTAGTTTTTCAATTTTATTAAATATACTCCCCGCATAATTAATTGAAGAAAAAAAATTTCTCCAAAGATATATTTCTACATCTATCTTAAAATCCAAGTAGCAATTTCTATTTTAAAATATAAATAGTTTTTTTAAAAAAATTCTCATAGAATTTACATATTCTTAACAAGATAATGCTACACATGCTTTTAAATTATCGATGTCATTTGATTTTTCTTTCATTTTATATTTAATGAAAAAATTATAAGAATTATTACAAAGAATTTTTCTCAAGTATGGAAATAAACAAATATAATTGACATAAATATTTTGTTACAATTGAACATAATTATCATATGAATATATTTATTTACCATGATTATCAATTGAAAAAAATTAAATAATAGATTTAATAATAGGCAAGTAATAAAGCTTGTTAGATTCAAGAAAACTTTAGATCTTAGTTATGCATTTAAATCATTCAATGTTTATAGAAAAGATAAAATTTTCACTAATTTAATGATAATTTATATTGAGAGAGAAATTACTAAAATATTTATTATAAATATGATAATTAATTATTTTTATATAATGAAAAATTGATAAATAAAAATTGAAAAGTGAAGATATATATTTATCTTTATTATATATTTGTAAAACAAAATATAAAAATATATGCTAAAATAATTATATTATATTGGTGATATATATAAATTTAACTTCCCTTCAATTATCATGTACACCTTATTGTCTCGGCTGACTGAAAATTTTTTGGCTCCACCCTAACATGCACCATCCCAAGAAAAAAATAAGATATGTACTATAATAAACTACATACTACTCCTTTCATTTTAAATTATAAAGTACTTTTAAACGAATTTTTTCATCTTAAAATATAAAACGCTTTGAATATATTAAAATTTTATTGAATGCATTAATTTTAATATTATCTTTTCTCTTTCTATAATTAATTTTCATTCCTTCTCATTTCAATGTATTAAATGATAGGCACTTTTAAAAGTTTATATTTTTATTTTAAAAAGATAAGATTGTTAAGTATATTTAATAAAGTTTATTAGTATGTAAGATTTTGTTTAAAAAATATCTTATAATTTGAGATGAAAAAAATATAATTTATACTATAATATTAATAGCATGGTATAAATTTTTTTAATTCTATAATACCATTAGTATTATGGTATAATTTTTTTTTTTTTTTTGGATGATCATAAGCGCCTTATCATCTTGACCAGAGAAGAGACAGATGTATAAAGACTAGAGAGACAATAGGAAAGTGAGAGGGTGCGTTTCGTCTCATGAGGTAGAAGCAGAAGCAACGCAAAGATGTAGAGAGATGAGAGAAGCGTGATGAGCCAAAGACTTTCCTATATTTGAAAAAAGAAAAATAAAAATATAATTGTCACTGTCAAGCGAATTCCTTGGATTCTCTTACGGGTGTCAGAGGAACAGCACAAAAAGCACTACGAACTTGTCACGCGGCTGTTAAGTGGGGGAAAAAAAAGGGATGGGGGGCCACCTGCACGCGCACGCGCCAGCCCCAAAGAGTATCTCCAACGCTACTGGCTCTTCTGTTTCCAATCCCACGCGCCATCCTCCCCGGCCTCCTCCTCCAGCGCAACACCGTACACAGTTACTCAAACTACACTCTTCTCTTCATTTCCTTCTCTTAAGTACCCTCTGCTCCTGTTCTGTTCCATGATATTACAGCCCACCACACACACACAAGACATAGGATTCGGACCATGTGCGGTATCATTTTGTGCAGTGATTAGGAACTAAATAATCATATTTTATATTTTTAATAAAATTGTTTTATCACTAATATGTATAGTTTATATTTAATTTATATTATCTAAATTTAATATTAAAATTTCAATAATTTTTATAAATTAATTATCCAAATGTATTTTGAATAATTTAAATTTTAAATTTTTAACTTGTAATTTTTTTAAAAAATATTTTTAGAAAGTTTCAAGATATTATCTTTATATTTCATATTATATTTGTCAAATAAAAAATTATAAAAATTATCTAGAAAAATTTTAACATTATATTTGAACTTTTAAGACTATATCTAGATAATTAATTCATAAAAGTTTTTAAAAAATAATATTCAATTTGAATGTTTACATTAAATTTTAATATCATTAAAATTTTAATATTAAATTTAAACAATATAAATTAAATATAAACTGTCCATCTTAGTGATAAAATAATTTTATTAAAATATAAAATATGATTGTACACTTTACGAATGACAAGCCCTTTTATACACCTCTCTCTTTTTAGCCATTAGATAGAACAAAGGGTGATGATTATCTACTTTTCAACCATTGCACAAAGTGATACAGCACATGATCTGAATCTCAAAACATATTTGAATTAATTAATCATATCATCACCCATTCCCCTTGTATGTACATTTTCAAACCCCACCATCTTACATTGGAGCTTCCTTCTTCTCTTACTTTACCCTTCTCCTACTTATAATGCTATCAATGTCTTCATAAACCCGTGCATGCACTCATCCAATCTAATTTTATTTCTTGTTAATTACCAACAAAGACGTGTAACATCCCAATTTAAATTTTAATAGTTAATTTTTGGTAAATAAAAATTTTTAAAAAAATATTTAGAGGTAAACAAATTAGTAGGAGATGATTATTAAATCTAACTTAGGATATAATTCTAAATAAAATAAAAAATAAAAAAATAATAAAAAAATAATAAAAAAAATATTATTATTATTATTATAAAAAAAAAGTATGAGAAAGAAGGAAAGAAAGAAGAGAACAAGATGGCTTTCGGTGCTCTTCCCCGGTGCAATGATTATATTTATATAATAATAATAAAATAAAAAAAGAGAAGAGAGAGGAAATAATTAAAAAAAATATGTGAGACCCACTGAATTTTTATAAAAACTTACCTGTTCCTTCATTTCTTCATTCCTTCTTTTGTGCGTGAGCTGAGGCAGAAAGAGCATCTGTGAGCCAAGTTCACCGGTGTTGGGTTTTAAGGTAAGAGTTTTTAATAGGATATTTAGGATGTGATTTTAAGTTTTTCAAGACTAAGTAAGTGTTCTAAAATTTTTCTTAGTCATCCTTCTTCTTTGATTTCTGAGTTTGTAGTGGTAGAAAATTTAAGATCTGGAAGAGGGATGAATTTATGTTGAATAAATATGATTTTTGAGGTTGTCAGTAGTATAATAAATGTTCTAGAGTATAAATTTATTGATGATCTTTGAATCTGTGGCTTATGGATCAAATTCTAAACTAGATTTGAAAATATATGTTGATTTATTGAGGTTTAGATGATTATTTGAGATGAGAAATGAATTATTATGGTTATAGGATTATGATTCTAAGCCAGAGACTCAATTTTTAATTTTTGGATATTTTAGGTACGAATTTATGAAATAAAAAGAAAATTTTGATAATAGAAATTAGTTTAGAAGTTGATTTTTAGATTATTAATGTTTATTGATAATTAAAAGAGGAGTTAAAAATTTTACTTAATAGTATTAACTATAGATTTGTATTAAGATTGAGATTAGAATTATGTTATATTTTTAATTCTATTATTAGAATTATTTTATTAGTTTCAAAAATTGAAACTAATATTTATAAATAATATGTTATTTGTAGATTGTATTACTGGTGAAGATTGTGGTGAGAGAAAAATTTTAAGGAATAATTTATTGAAAAAGCCACAAGGTAACCATGCTTTTAATTTGTGATTAGTGTTACTTCATGTTAATTGGGTGATTATTGAGAAAATTATGAATTTTGTAATATTGTATAATTGTGCAATATTATTATGAATTTGTTTAATTATTGTGGGAGGTGTTGGGAGACTTGCTATTGTTGTTGTATTTATGTGCCACGTGGTACGCCCCTATTGAAGCTCAATAGATGGCTTGTAAGGGCTCGGGCTAATCTACCTTTGGCTGGGTAATTTAACACCGAGTGAGGGCTACGGCTCGAGGTTAATGAAGGGATATAAGGATGGTTGTTTGTGTTTATTGTAATATTTCTTATATTTGTTGGAATTATATTATTTTTAATTCTCACTTAATAAGCACCCACTTAACTGTTTGTATACACTATCATAAATTGGCTTTGGTTACTGGAATTTTTGAGTCTCATTATGTGGTTAACAATTTTCAGGAGAAGAGCCACGAGTGACACGTGGAGGAGTCCCAGAGGCTTAGTGGTATATATCCACTGTCTCTTTTGAGTATTTAATTTATGATTTATAATGTGTTATATTGCCAATATTAAGGCTTTTTGTTTATTGTCAATTATATGAATATATAAATGTAATCATGCCTTTCAAACTATTTCTATTTTTGGTACAATTTGGATGACTGTAATTTTAATATTTGGTTTACTTTGGATTGATTAAATTGGCATGATTATAAGGACAAATAACTGGCTTGTGTTGAAAATTGACTAAATTGTTTATTTTACTTGTTGGGAGTATAAGGATGGACAAATGTGATTTAGTTTACTTATTGGGAGTATAAGGATGGACAAATGTGATTTAGCCTAATGGCATGTGGGAGGTAAAAATTTATCTGAAATGTTATAGTGTGTGAGTTGAAATCAATTATAAAATATTTTATATTGAAATTATTGATATAAAAATGTGTTGGGTGGCTGTAACCCAACTATGGTTGAGTTAAATTACTTTAAAAAAAAAATTTTGATGTGTTACAAGACGCATAGACCCGAGTAACACAAGAATTAGCAAGCTAATGAACTCTCTGCATCCTATTTACTTTTCAGGGTTTAAAGGCGTGCATGCATCTTAAAATTATTTTAAAAAAAAATCTGTTTTCCTGGCAAAAATTTTACTCTCAATTATCAGTGTAAATAGTGAGCACAAACAGCGTAGGAAATGGGTGTTTGAGAGTAGCACCTTAGGCCTTGCGCTGCATCACTCTGCATCCAACCGTTTTCCATTGCGACCGCGTTGTTTCCTGATGATACCTCATCTTGATTCCACCATTCCTGTATCAAATTCAGACCATTACCACAACACTCAAAGACTCTCTTCCACAAATCAACATTGTTTATATTAATTGGATTTGGTCGCTTACAGCATCATCGGACCAACACTTCCCTCTTCTTCATTACTTTGCCAAAGGTCCCGCTCTGATATGCTTACTCTGGGTCTGCAAATTGGAAAATCCACAAGTATAAATACATGAGAATATTAAATAGAAAAAGAAAAGAAGAAACAGGAAATATATATATATATATATATGTGTGTGTGTATGTATATATAGATATATGAGAGAGAGAGAGAAGCAGTTCAGTCGGAACGTTTTCCCCAAGCTGCAGAGGTACACGCACAAACTCGTGTGTGTATCAATAAGAAAAAAGCTCACCTGCGATTTACTCTCTCTGTTTTTATTTGTAAGAGGAAAAAAGTATATTACACAGTTTATAAATTATGTTTGAAAGTAAACGCATTTGGAATATAATACTCTTTATTAATTATATTAATCAAGTTTTCATTAATTATTTTTTATAACTATGAATAATAAAATTATGAGGGATAATTTAAGAAGTTTGTAATAAATGCCTATTAAAAAATATAATTTTGCTTATAAAAAAATTAGAAGTAATAGTTTTTCTCACAAATAAAAACCAAGGGAGTATACCCACACACACTAGACTCCCACGTGGGATAAGAAAATTAAGGAAGCATCCAACCACTTATCTAATCTAAATAATTCAAAAATTTTCTTCAAGATATATTTGGAACTTGGGGAAGCTTATTATGAAAATTGAGAGCAAGATTATTAAAAAATTGTTTACATATTAACTATTATTTATTTTTTTCCTAGCCCTTAATTTTCTTTATGATTTATATTTATAATTATTTTAAAACAATATCTATTGTTATTTTTATTAGGTGTTTCTGATTTACCCACCAGTTGGAGTAAGGATATAGACATGAATAACCAAACTAAAAATAGATTTAGGAATTTATGGCTATTTAAGTTGTAGCTCCATGATTTTGTTATGATTTTAATTCGATTTCGAAAAAAGCAAATTCCATCCGAATTAAATAGGGATAAATTAGCTTAGAGTGTAATTAAAACACTTCAAGAATAATTGTTACTGTGATTAATGATAGAGTCAATTCAAAGTGTGGTAGAAATTAGTAATAGGGTAAATCATGAACCCTGATACTTCTACTGATTGAAAAATGATCTCCATATTATTATTAGTAATTTTTTTCATTTAATTCTCAACTCAAATAGTTTTCACTTATCTATTGTTATTTTACTAAATTAAAATAAATTGACATGGCAAAATCTTTTCCCTTGAATACTTTGAGACACTTTATTACAATCCTGTACACTTTCAAAAAGCAATCAACTGGAAGGAGACCACATAGGGCCGAGAAGCTATCCACGAAATCAAAGGAAGGAAAGCTTAGTACGACTTGTACGATCATATAGATCATGATGAACGGTAAAGCATGCCCACAATCTAAAGAAACATGATAGAAACTTACCTCCGGCCATTGCTAAATTTGGAACTTGAATTGTTTGTGGGGTTGCTTCTAATTTCTCTTTTTTTGCTCTCTTGATGGTGTATGTGTATGTGGGACTGGGAGAGATTTTCAATTGCAACTAAATGAGCTTGGGGACCCCTTCTATAAATGCCAAAGATCGCTCCTTTAAAGAAGTATGACAAGTGGCCATGGTAGCTATAGGAAGTTATGAGTATGGTGCAAATCCATTTACTTGTTGGATTCATGTACCGTCCAAAAATTGAGGGAACCGAAGGTATGAACAAGGGCCACATTTTAAGGAAAATGACTTGATGTAACGAGTCAAAATTTATAACAAGAAACCCCCCCGGGTTTCTATATTTCTTCGTATCTCGCTGATCAGTGATCTCTCTCGTCTCTGTTTCTATATCTCTTTCCTATAATCTTCTCGCATCAGTGACTGTGTGTGTTACATGAGAGACTAGCTAGACAAGTATACCAGTAAAATGAATATATTTATACTGGATTCGGTCACTTACAGATTGAACAGACGATGGAGTTTCCTCTTCTTCATTTGTTCGCTGATTGTCCCAATCTGACGTAACTATGCTTTCCTCAATGCTTGGGGAATGATGCGTCTGTATGAATTTAACAATACATATGTTCAGTCATTTAATAGGGTATGTGGCAGATTATCTTGCGAAGGAGGCTGACTGATCGTTTTGAACTTTTAAATACACTCCCATCAAGTTGTCTTGGTTTCTATCATCTGGATAGAAATGTGTAATCTGTTTTGTTTGCTTTTCTTTAAGAGTTAGGAATTTCCAAGCTTAGGTTTGTCTTGTAATTTCAGAAAAGTCATTTAATAGGGTAGAGAAGTAAATCAATAAAATGAATATTATTTATATTTGGATTTGATCACTTACAGCTTGAGCAGACAAAAGAGTTTCCTCTTCGTTATTTTGCTGATTGTTCGCAGGAACTTCTCCCACCCGTGCGGGATCCTGGGCCTGCAAATAGGAAAATCCACAAGTATAAAATACATGTTAGTTCAGGTAACAATGTTTCAAGTCAGGTTCAATTGCTTAAGCATTTTGCTGCAAACCTCAATTAAGACCTCCTCGTTGATGTCTTCATCATCAATTTCCATTTCAGCTTCCTTTGAAGAACCAAACTCTATGATCTAATAGTCATTTGGACCGTCAGAACCAACCTGCAGTACTCTTTGGCGAAAAACAATGAGGACGTAGCTGAAGAAGAATGCAATTAGTGCGAAGATTAACTTGATCTTGGCAAGCTGTTGGATAAACATTGAGAGGGAAAAACCAAAGAATCCTGTTTCGAATCCAAGCTCAAACTTCCTTGACATGGACAGCGACGATAAAGTAAATAAACCATACGAGATAATGCTCAATGCATCTGATTTTTCTTTTACACGTTTGTCATGCCAAAAGGAGAACAAGGTGGTCAGAACAAAACTGCCAGTCATCACATGACTTCGCACATTCTCTGAAACTCGAATTCCCTTGGCCAGCAAAGTGAAGCAGAGGACAGATAAACTGATCAAATATATAAACAAGGAAACGGCGATAATCCCACTCCCCAAACAAGTCTGTGAAGGTAGAGCTGAAACCAAAGCAAAGCACGCCAATTATGGCTGACACAGATCCCACAAGTTTCCAAATCGTGGACGGATTTATAAGATCTCCCATTCTGTTCTTTTCTAGGTATCAGAAACAGCAAACTGCCTGCAGTTATATATCCAAAAAATAAACGGGCAAGCTAAATTCAGCTAAAGCAAGGTAGAAAATCGGAAAAGGGAAAAAAGATCAGATGTGTTTAATAATTCCTCAAGAACAAGGATTCGAATTCCCAAAGCAGAGTACAACCAAGATTGTGCTAAGATTTCTGTTATAGGCCAAAAAATAAAAATCATCAAAGAAACATACTAACCTCAATCAGATTCCCCGACCCACACTATGGCAGAACCGCCGCAACCACGAGAGGATATGGGAAGAAGCTAAGGTTTTGGGATTGAATGGGTTTCTTCTCTTCAAAACTTCGTCTCTTGTTACCGTATGTTTCCACTTCCCCCACCTGAGGGAAACTGAGAAGGGCAGTCTTAGTGTGATATCAATTTACTTTTTGACTTGTGGTAGCAAAAGGCTAAAAGCAACCAGAAGCCGTCTATAGTACATTACCATCTAAATGATCTGCGCTTTATCAATGTAATTAAAATAAAATGTAAATGGTGATTGTATGTGAATCAATAAGTAATTAACATGGAGCAAATTGGACATTTAAATGTAGCCATTCTTGATTTAAACAAAAAAAATCAATATGATCCCATGCACAACGACGACGATATTGATAACTAAAAACTACGTGAATGGTACATAAAAAATGTATGTATATCAACAATTTATACACACACATACAATCATGCCCATTGTTAATTACTTCATCACAACATATCAATATATATATATATATATATATTCATTTCATTTAAAATTATAAGAAATTTTGATAGAGATACTTTATATTTAAAGATACAGATATTTTATTATATATATTGCATGTTAATACTGATTTACTTCGCTTAATTCTACAAAGTATCTCATCAGTATCATTAAGAATATATTCCTCCTTGAACTGCAACTCCATCAGCACAACACGTGTGCGAGTATATGTGTGAAGAATATTGAAGAAGAGAATATTAACAAGAAAAATGATGAAAACCTTACATTAATCTATCCAACTAAAGTTATTTATAAACCCCAATTTTGAAGTAAAATATTAAGATGAGGACTTTTATTAACCTTCTTTTGAAGTGGAATACAACTAGGGGTGGAACCAGCGTAGATTTAGAGGGGGCCAAATTTTCTAAAAAAATATATACATCGGTTTATAGTTCTTAAGTTTTTTTTTAAAATCTTATTATTGAAAAAAAATTCATAAGATAATATCTATAAATATAAAAAAATAAAAATAAAATTATTTCAAGTAAAATAATATATTTATTTATATTAATTTGTGAATGTATAATACAGGGACCCTATTGACCATGACAATCTATCCCCTTAATATATATCAAAGTTGGACAGGTTTTTTTTGGGGCGAGGGGGGAGGAGCCCCCTTGAACTACTTCTAGGTCTGCCCCTAAATACAACCCCCTAACCTCTAATTAAATATAATGCTCTTTATATAAATCTTAGAGTTATCAACAATTAAGTTATCAATACCAATCACTCTAACTAATTCAACACCCCTGTCAAGTTGACAACACTTTTAAGATGTTCAACTTGCCAACACCAAATATAAAGGTGGAGTAGGAATTAAACTAATCAATTTTAATTTGCTAAAACAACTTGAAGATATCTTTAAACTTGCATTTCATCTTTCTTATTGTACTGTACTCACCATCTTGATCATCACTTCATTTCCTTGAACTTAGTGCAATCATCAGTAATTATATGCTTTTAATCATTTGACTCTTTCTCCTTTCAAACTTTGAATAGGATAAGTCAAAACTTTGCCAACTTTCAACCAATCAACACTGTCTTTGCTAAATTCGGATGCCACAATGCCTTCTCTCTGTTCTTCTTGAAATCAATCCCACACCTACCAAATCAAAGGAGGGATCCACCATATGCGTTGTTCAATGATTTTGCTTCGTCTGTGTAAAAGAATCTACTACCTTCCAAAACTGTATCTTGAACATCAAATCCCTTTATGTCTTTCCTGAATGTACTTCGAATATTTTCTTCCGGTGTTTTGGGTGCTCTCTATGCATTGGCTCAGCAAGAAAGCACCATTGCTCGCTCAACAATAAGGACCATGAACAGAGAGCAATCGTTCTAACTTAGATGCCCAATTCATTGAGTTTATCATCAGCTCTTCATTCCTCCAAACACATAAATTTCACAGGGATTCCAGGTTCATCAACCACACGACCACACAGCCATCTCTGGCAGCACCATCAATCTTGGTCAAAATAAAGTAGTAGCACCAACAACCACATTAAAACTTTCATGCTCGTCGCAACATATTCAAACTAGTGTTGCCATCTATAACTTAAGAGAATCTCATTGGGTGCGCCAGGAACTACTTTACCACCAGCCCTTCCACAAGAAATCAACTCCCCTCCCCCCCTCTTTATTTTTTTACCAACATGCCAAGAAATGAAGGAATCAAGCTGAACCCAAATTTCTGAGACCGAGTGAGATAATATGCAAGAAATCTTCAGGAGTAGAATCTCACGTACCCTTTTCTTCATCTCAAAGACCCTTCACTAGAAGAATCCCGCATATAGATGGCTATGCCGGACAATACGTTCACCTTATTCCTGAATCTCCCTCGCCATTGCAGCCATCCTTCCAAATTTCATTTTTCGACTTGTTCATGAAAACAATCCCATTCTTGACACCAATCAAAACGAATGGTCCACAAACTACAGAGCTTTCAAGATCAGAGGCAATCCTTCCTTGAATATAACCTCCGGCTATCATCAACGACTTGGCACACCTGACGATCATCATCAAGGTTATGACAGAGAAACTACTCATAATGTAAAATCTTGAAGCCCCAATTACGTGCTACAAGAGTCGAAGTCTGATAAATAATTATCCACAACGTGCCACTTGGATAATGATAGGATTACATCAAGTGAAGAATCTAGTTTCTTTATTGTCTTCTCCTCCTCCCAAAAAAGGACAAGATTGCATCTTAAAAATTGTATACAAAAATATTTGTACAATTTTTATCCATCAATTATAACAAGTGTCAAGCATCCAAAGTTTGCAGTAAACCATGGCATGAAAGGAGGCAAGACTCAAACATATGAAATTCTCACGTCAAGTAAGCATGATGAATGATTGAATGACATGACAAGGAAACTTGTATAGCAGCCAGAAAGTTCAGGAAATGGCGCAAATTAATACAACAGACTTGACTTAGACCTTTTTTCCTTCTAGTCAACTTCCAATAGCTCCATCAAATCCTTACATCTTTTATTTGAAGTGTCTGTTGTTTTTTTTTTTTTAATGTCCAAAATCTCAGCCCTTCATTTCAGCTGATCACAAAAATTTCATCTAATTTCTCCTTCAAATGAAAAAATAAAAGAGATTTTACATATTAGAGGAGACAATAGAAAGAAAAGCAGGTACCCCAAATCCCTTGTTTCCTTCTTTGTACACATCAAGTACGCAAGAAAAAGTGTCACTAATACTACTTATAAAAATATTATACATATTAATAGCATTAATGGTATCCTTTAAATTAAGAGTTTTTCACTTCATCTTTATATTATAATAGTAGGAACCAGCAAGGGGATAATAGCTAACGTTGTACCCACAGAACCTGATCGAATTTCAGAGGTTCCTCCTCCTCCTCCTCGTCTTCTTCTTCTTGTTCCGCCTCATCAGCATCTGTCCTGAGTTGAGGAAGCACCGATGTTGGAGATGAAGTACTGGAATCCTCCCCTGAATCCTTGGCTGCAGGCTTCACTAAAACTCTCATTTCTGGCCTCTTTGTCACTTCCAAGTCTGCTTCTTCCACTGAACGAAACACCAGTGCCACTTCTTCCAGGCGCAGCCATACGCGTCTCAACGGGTCATACATGAGTCGCGGCTTCATCGAATGCACACCATCACAAACTTGTAATTGCCACGCGTTCAATTGTATGGCATCACCAGCAATATCTCTGACAAAAATCGCAGCACCAGTATATATGAAAATGTATGTGTATGTTTGATGGATTTGCCCAACCATTGCTAGAAGATGTGCTCCTGGCCGGACTCTAGTTATATTCCCTTGGGTCACAATTATTTGATACTCTCTAACTACCATACCAGAATTAATAAGAAGTGATTAAATCATTAATTTTTTAAAAAAATAGAATAAACTTTTAATCTTAATTGCCCATATTTAAATGAAAAGTTCTCAAATTTGCATTACATTCTTTCTTATAATTAGTGAGTTTAAATAAAAATAATATTAAAAAAATATAATTAATACCTCATGATAAGATGTCTTATACTATATTAAGGATAAAAAAATTATTTTTAGAAAGTGTCCTATAAAAAACCGGAGTAGCATATATAATAAAAAAGAAACTATTGAGATTATGATTTAAATCTTTATAATTATTTATGATTATTTTTATATATTATCTTGTTTTAAACCTATTTTATTTTTATTTGAAATTTTAGGAAATATTTATTATTAGTCAAGATAATATTTCTTTAAGATATGGCATTTTACTGCTAATCTTGCCTATTTTCTCTCTTTCCCCTTACTGGGTGGTCGTTACTCATTCCTAACATGAAAAGTTGGGGAAAAACTTAGAAAAGAAATGGACTCTATGCAGAAATCTCTAAGAAAAAGAGTCAATGATGTTTATAAAATCAAAAATTGTAGACCAAGTTAGTAGCAATAATTTTTTTCGAGTTTTTCATGCAATTTAGTTTTCAACAATTCCCTATGCAAGTACGTTTTTTTTTCCTTCTTGTTCAAACAAACAGTCAAGGAGAAAGGTGATTTAGTGTAAGACCTTGAAAAATCCGATGGTGGGGTTCCTGAAATTAATTGGGACACAGGAGAACTGAGATTAATCCAGCCGTTTTCGTTTGTTACCAGGTTCTTTCCTGAAGAAACATTGTCTTGATTTGAGACTTCCTGCAGGAAATCAAAGCCATTCGCATAAGACTTAGGAAGCAAATCAATAAAATCAACGCATTTATACTGAATTTAGTCACCTACAGCTTGATGAGACAAAACAGAACAAGTATCATGTTCTTCACTGCTTTGCTGACTATCCCCAGATAGGCTTTCCCTTGAAACTTCTCCAATCCTTGTGGAATGTTGCTCCTGCGAAAAGAAAATTGCGCAAGGATAAATACATGGATTTTTATTTGAACAGGAAATGCTCATTTCAAGAGTCAACTTCTATTTCTAGAATATTTTACTCTAAACACACCCAAAAAAAAAAAAAAACAAAGAAAGACCTCTGCATTGTTGTCCTCATTTGCAGGATCAACTTGAAAGCAATGAAAGTCATGTGGACCAGTGGAACCAATCTCTACTTGGGAATCTGAATAGCTGCGAAAATTGATGAGCACATAGCTGAATCCTACTGCAATCACGGAGAGAATCCCGCTGATCTCAATAAGTTGTACGGAAAAGCATGCCAGGAAAAAACTAAAGAGCCCTGTTTCGAATCCGAGCTCAAATTTCCTGGACATGGACAAAGACATCAAAGCAAATGAACCGTACGAGATTGTGCTCAAAGCATCTGGTTTTCCACTCATAGTTTTGTCACGAACAACAGAGTACAAACAGGTGAGACCAAAATTGAAAAATACCATGTGACCTTTTAGCAGGAAATTCCCTGAAACTCGAATTCTCTTTGCAAGCAAGGCGATGAGCAAGATAACTGAGCTGACGGATAGATAAATGAGGAAATGGAGAAAATCCCATTCTCCAAATAACTTTTTGAAGGCGGGGCTCAGGGAAAAACAAACCAGGCCGGTTATGGCTGACAAACTCCCCATGAAATTCCAAAACTTGGACTGGTAATGGAACAATCTCCAAATAAGATCTCGCATAGTGTTCTTTCCACTGAAGCAGGCTAAGATGATCGAGAATAAATGGAAGCTAAGATTAGTTAAAGTATTGGAGAGCTGAAATAAAGAGAGATGCTCACATGGAGTCAAATTCACCTTCGGCACTGGCTAGAATTGCAACCAAATTAAAGAGGAAGAAGAGCTTTTGGAGTCAAGGTGCTCTCTTCTCCCGATCTTTCCGCGTTCGCATTCGGAGCGCTCATCACACGTGGCCAAAATGTGGCCTTTGATTTAATCCTGAAATGATCTATACCATTCATTTTAAATTAATTTTTAAATATTATATTTATTAATATAAAAATTATAAAAATTTTAATGTTAAACCTGAATTGTCTACAATATATTTATATAATATATAAAAATAATAAAAAATTTTAATATTAAATTAAATTATTTAAATTATAATTAAATTTATTAGAGTATATTTGAATAGTTAAATTATATAAATTATAAAAATTTTAATATTAAATTGAACCTTTTAAATTAAATTTATACTAATTAGATTTGTAATAAATAAATTAATTAAAAAATTTATATTTTTAAAATTTTTTATTTTGATAAATGTAATTAAAAATAAAAAAGTTTAAATTTAAATGGTGCAAATTTCATTAAATATTATGAGCATGATAATTTTTATTCTTGAATGGGTATCAAAAACAGTTCAGATTTAATATCAGGATTTTTTATAATTTTTATATTCATAAATATAATATTTAAAATATTTAAAAATTAATTTAAAATAAACGGTTGAGATCACTTCAGGATAAAATGAAAGATTTTGATTCAGCCACGTAATGATAAGCGCTCGGTACTCATCGCAGATGCAAACGCGTCCGAGAGAAGTTGATTTCTTTGAATTTCTCGAAGTCAAACTTAGGAATAGGCGTAAAGCAAACCCACCAATGTATAAAAAGTTAAAACATTAACCATTTTCAAATTCATGCCTAAGTAATCAATGTTCTTAACTATGACAGAGTGGGAATACAATATCTAAGTTTGCCTTGGAAATAATATAAAATTAGAGGAGGGGTGGAAGATAAGAAGAGTTGAGAATAAAAACTGAACTTAAAAAATTATACCTAGAAATCTTATTTAAATAAAAGTTTAAATTTTAAAAATTAAATTTTTTTTAAGGTAATCGAATTTGAGGGCCTAATCTTGATAAATTCTATAAAAAAAGGCTCAAACTTAGGTGGCCCTTTAAATCCTAATAAGTTTAATTATTTTACACACACATACATATATTTAATTGATAATGATATAATTTAATTAATATTTATTGTAAATAATGAACAAGTAATAGTAGAGATAATTGATATTGAATCTTCATCTCCATCTTCAACAAGTAGATCTACATCTAAAGGATCTAACATTTTATTTTTAGATGATGAGGAGAAAGATTTAGATTTACATTGATGAAGATTTTAATTTTCATCTTAAATTTAAAATTTTAAATCTTTATCAAATTTTATGTTTAATTATATGTGAGACTTTAATTTATTTCATGTTAAATTTTAAAATATTTTGTTTAAATTAAAATGTTGATTTTTTTTTAGAAAAAAGGACTTAAGGGCCTAGCCCTAAATCTTTTAAATAAAAGTCAAGTCTTAGAATCAGATTAAAATTTGGATAACTGAGCTTTAGGACCTGAGCCTTTAAAAGCTAAGCCTGCCTTAATTCTCATCTTTAAAACAACATGATTCTACCATTTCAAACAAATTTGGATGACCCCGATTTTACAATATTCTTTTGAATATTATAATTATTTTATATTAAAAGATCCATCAATAGCTCATTAAAATAAATTACTACTACTTACCAAATAGCACGTTGACATGAACTAAAAATATTTTTTTAAAGTTATTATTTTATACAATTAAAAATGAACAAATATTTTATGTTTAGTTTTACTAAAACCACTTTTTTTATTTTATATAAATTTGTCTTGGAGATAAATCTTATTTGAAATACCTGTAAGTATTTTTTTTAGCTTGATTTCAAATCTTAATTTTATCATATTATGAGAAATAATTCTTTTTCGTTAGACTCAATTTTGGTTGATAAAATTTTGTTTTATGTTTAAAGAAACAAGCATATACTGGTACATTGTGCGTATAAAATTATTAGCACCATCATTGAAAATGACTCTTTATCAAGGCAATTTAATAATGTATAGAGGAAAGGAAGCCATTTTAGATTTTTTTTTTTTAAACTACGAACATTAAACACACGCACATTTCAACTAAACATTTCTATCTAATCAAATATGAATAAAACTCATGTATTTAATTTTATACACTTAATATATTTTTATTTAATCAAATCAAAATCAAGATAAATGAGTTTTAGTATATGAGAATTAATGCGGGCATGGGGGGTTTTCATGGATTTGTTTCAACCATTGTTAGAGATTGTGCTCTTCTCTTGAACTCTAGCCATATATACAATATAAAAGAGAGATAAAATGAAGCATCATAGTAGAGGGAAATGAACTCATGCAGAAATTTAGTTCGAAAAAGTGTCACTAATATTTATAAAATAAAAAATGCAAAAGACAAAGGAGAGTAGTATCATCATCAATATATCCTTAATAGTAGTTCCACCGAGCCATACACTTGAAAAATGGCTTTATGACTCTAGACACAATTTATTGTTCATAGAGCCAACAATTATTTTTTGGGCTTTATACGATGGTGGCTGATATTTTGGCCTCTAGAAAGATTATTAATATTAACCTTTTTTTAAAAAGCCTACCTCTCTCTATCTCTCACTCACTCTCTCTTTGATGAAAAAACACGACAATCAGCCTAAGGTTGATTCAGACAATAATCCTCTAATAAAAAACTATTTGAAGTAGGAGAAGGACTAAAAAACATATGCAGTCCAAGATAGTGCAAGGCTTGCTTTGCAAGATGATTAGTAGTTGTGTTTCTAGTCCTTATCAAGTAATTGATAGTAATGTCCCATTCACGGCTAGTCTACCCAAGCATGAAGTTGGACAAGAAAGAACCTGAATGATCATAGATGACTCCCCCGCAACCACCATTCTTCATACGAGGATTAGAACCTCCATCAATGTTAATTTTAACCCACCTTTGTGCTAGTGTCATCTAAGATGAAGGGCTCTGCAAATGAATAGTCCTACTCATATTAATATTACAAACCTTCTTCTAATAAAGCCCTGTACTTCTCATGACCGACATAGCCTATGCAAAGATAGTGTCATTATCTCTATTCTTGTTCTAAAAAATACAATGATTCCATCATTGTTGAAAGAGCTAACAATTGATTGTGAATAATTCCCTTCACTCCTTCCTTGGTTTGTGACCAACATTATTTAAGTTCCACTGAATCCAGTGGTCATATGGAAGGTCAAAAAATGCATCATGAAAAGTAGGATTAAGCAACTTATACTAGTAAGCACAAGTTTGTGGAAAGTCGCACAAGACATGAAAGGCATCTTCAGTATAATTAGAACAATAGGGACACTTGTCATTCTCAGTCATCCAATGTTTCCTATGTGCTTCATTAATAAGTAATCTATTATGAGAAGCAATTTATAAGAAGGATTTGCTTTATTGAGGAACTATAATCTTCTAAATTCCCCCATACTATGCTCTATTAGGCTCATCATGTTACTGCATATAAGAATATGTTGACTTAATAGAAAAATTACCATCCTTTTTCCACTTCCACCTAACATCAGAACTTCTATTAGTTAACTCCGCACTCTCTACCACTTTGTCCCAAACATTCTTAATCTTAGCCCAAGTATTAGATCATTATCGCTTCTTATTAATCACTAGGGTCAAAGTACTGCCATACTTGTATTTTTCTCTAACAAACTTAACTTAAAGATCATCACTTTGTTTCATCCTTTTCCATCTAAGTTTCATTAAGAATACTTGATTTTGGGCTCCAGCTTGATGAATACCCAAACCACGAGTTTTTTTTTTCACTTTGGCAAATATTCACCCAGGACACAAGATGAGTCTTCCTTTTATCTTTTGTGAAACCCTAAATAAAACTGCTATTTAAGCTGTCAATAGTATCACAAGTTTGAACTATAAGAAGAGACATTTGCATGTTATAAGCTGGAAGAGCAGAGCTTGTTGTAGAAATAAGACTCGTCCTTATAACAAGTGAAAGAGAAGAAGTCTTCTAGGCAGATAGGCATTTTTTGACCTTATCAATAACATCAATAAAGGTATCACTTCCCACAAGTTTAGTGTGAAGATTTACTCCAAGATAATGTCCTAAATCGGCAGATCTCGTGAAACCTAAGGCAAAACTCAGCTCCTCGTATCATGCATTGTTTACTTTTTAGAGAAACATTCACACATCTTAGAGGCATTCACCTTCAATCCTGAGATGTTACAAAAATGACTCAGACAATCATGAATGACATCTACCTAAAATAGCAAAGCTTTAGCAAATAAAATGGTATCATTAGCAAAGAATAAATGGGATATTGGCGAGCCTGTTCTCCTGAATCTAATAGGAATCCATTCTTCATCCTTTATTTTTTCTTGAATTAAGTATACTAATTTCTTCATGCATATGACAAAAAGATAAGGGGAAATTGGATCTCCTTAATGAACACTTCTAGAAGGAGTAAATATATCATCTTTACTAACATTTTAAAGTAGTTGCATCAACGTAAGTGACACATATTGTGTAATTAGTTCTCTCATGTGATTAGAAAGATTAAGGCTCATCAAACAATCATCCAAGAAATCTTAATTAATACAATCATAAGCTTTCTCCAGATCAATTTTAATAGCCATGAATCCCTTCTACCCTTGCATAATTTTCATAGAATGAATAACCTCTTGAGCTACAATAATGTTATTAAAACTATGTCTTTTTAATATAAAGCTACTTTGATTAGGGGTTATAATAGCAAGAAGAAAATTCTTCATCCTTAAAGTAATCACCTTAGTAGTAATTTTGAACACCACATTACACAAATTGATAGGCCTCAAATCTTTCAAAGTTTCAAGTGGATCTTTTTTTGGAATAAGCACAATAAAAATATTATTTACCTCCTTAATGGCATTAGCCAATATGCTTCCACTAGCTTTAATAAAACACTGTACCAAAACCATCAGGCCCTGGGCACTTCATAACC